AACCGAAATTTTTCTAAATCAAATAATGTAATATGTCATTTTTCATTCCAATAATGTGCATCTAATATTTCAAGAACATCAATAACATATCTGGGAAGTGTGAGGGAGCTTCTGCTAAAAATATGCATGAGAATATCCCATTAATGTTATGTTACAAACTTGTAACCTACCATAAAATTGTTGGGGAATGTTACAGGTACATATACTGTGTAGACCTCGTACGATTTGGCCTTACGCACGAAAATGCAGTCTGTGTAAACTACACGAATATGCAGCCAAAAAGGCCTGTAAGGTCATTAGCTAGGTCATATTTTTTGACTTAATTGATGTACTGCATTTTTGATATGTTTAAACTTTTCTGATGGATTTGAGTGAAAAGTGTTAGATAGAAATCGAAGTTTGTTTTTTAAATAGAGGATTGCATGTGCTGACAAAGGAGAAAAATGATTTCATTAGACATTTTTTTCGTGGAAAATACATAAGAATCATAATTTATCATCAAATACAGGAAAATCTACATATTGATGATAGGGATATGAATTATTTATTAATACAGATTCCAAAAAAAATAGTTATTGGAAGAATTGCCAGAAATGAAGATTTTTAGAATGGTTAATCTAGATAACAACCACTATGAAATATTGTATTGTACAAGAATTTAACTAGCATTTCATTTGATATATTTGACAAGTGGATCTTCTCTGTTGACTGGTGATCTAAAATTATTTAGAAAAGGGGCAACACCCTCCAATACTCTCCTACTGAGCGGGGCCGCGGCAAATGCTTGTACCGGAAGTTGTTAAATTCAGTATATAACTTCTCCCCGCCCAAGTGATGGACACGCGTTAAGGAAAAGCTCAGTACCCATACGACTGCTCCTTGGTCCCGATGGTGTCGAGATTGTGAACAATCTAAAAGAAGCTTTTCTCAGTTGTACTTAGGCAGTTCAAAAATCGGATTAGCAAAATGTCTTTGTGATCTTCATTGTAGCCGCCGTGCCTGTGTGGATGATTCGGCGTAAAGAAATTCCATGAAATAGGGAGTTATTAAAATGTATCATGTATCTAAAAAGATTGATCAAGCAGCTGGCGAGATAAAAGAAGGAATTATGGAGAAAACTATAAATCAGTTCACATAAAACTACATATTTCAGGCAGCTTAAAAATAAAACAACAGCATTAATAGAATATATTTTATTTATTCTATTCTTTAAATCAATCGTTTAAATATCTGGGTATATATGTGGATAGTAAACTATTGTTTCACGAGCATTATGTATATATTATTTCAAAAATATCAAAAAAGATAAATTACTTCTATAGAGTTTCCCATAATCTTAGTATGCAAAAAAATGTGTAAACACCATAATTCTTCCACATTTTATATATTGTTCAACTATTTTGTCCACATCAAATGAAAACATATTTTCACAATTACAAATCCCTTCTCTAGCTTTATACCTATGGGAATCATTTTAAATAAAAAAAATTTTGCTAGGATTAAGTCTATGTTAGAAGAACTACAGTAGTTGAATATAAAAAATTGCATATGCTATTTAGTTCTCATTTTCATATTCAAATTGAACAACCATTTATTACCACTACATTTAAAAAACTTCACAAAATTAAATAGTTATTATCATAACTATGAAAACAGAGGCAGTATAGGTTTTTATCTGCAAAACTGTAATAGTAGCATAACTAGCAAATCTGTATTTCAAAATGCAGTATTTGAATTCAATAAATTGAATAATGATATTGAACTTCTTCGAATTTAAAAATGTTTAAGATGGAATTAAAAAAACAATTTATGAGTACTCAAAATGCATAGTGATGTAATTTTAATAGACAAGAATATAAAATTACAGAAAATGGATTCAAGAAATGTGTAAACGGATCATTATACAAAATTGATATTGTAGCATTAATGCTAAATAAATCTTCAACAAACAAATAAAAATCATATTGTGGTTATAGAAAAACGTTGCAACGATGTAATTTCTTTTGTAACATAATGTATGGATGCCAAATTATTCTTTGTGGGTCTTAGAAAGTGATGTGTAGGCTCATTTATTTCCTACAATTTGATGACACTAATGATAAGTTCAAATTGGCTTCATGATAGCGCTGGAGCATTTTCGAACATTTGAAAAAATGCGTTTGTAGGGAATTGAATTCATCACTTTTCATTTATAAAACAGTAAATATGTTACAAGAAAATTAAGGGTAAAGTTAAATGTAATGACATTTTCGCTTAAAATGACTAAACTAACAAGTGTTTAAAAGATTCTTATTATTTTATGTAGAAAATAAAATGATTCTTCAAGTGTATGGAGCGAAAGTCAAAAATTTATACAAAATTGTCGCGCGGCATACTCAGCGCTGTACGCACGTTGCGCACGTGTCAGTATACATCTAATATTTTCGGATATTTCATGATGTAAAAGTCGCTCACTTCCACCAGTCTGTTTATTGGCCATTTTGTCACTCGGTACACTCAGCAACCGTTGTAACGATTTTAATGGAAAGGAATAAACTAGTATTATCTACTACATCTCCTCTGCCATTATACTCGGTGAAACTACTCAGTGACAAAGTCGCCAATAGACAGACTGATGGGAGTGACTTGATCTACATAATGAAAAAAATCACAAATTATCAAAAAATATTAATTTTCCATGCTTTTACATGGTAGTATTCTTGGTGATGGGTAATGATTATGCAGTTATTTTCACACGAAATAATGTTGTATGCCACTTAAGAGGACCATGTACATATGTAGCGTTAGGGCTATGTCGGGCGACCGCTTCAATTTTTTATACTTTAAGAACCAATAAAATGTTCAAAAAATGATCTTTTTTGTACCAAATTTTATTTTCTACAAAACGTAGTAGTGTTTTATACTCTTAGGTTCTTAGTTTAGCCATTATAACCGAAAATATCATTACACGTACCTTTACCCTCAATTTTCTTGTAACCTGTTGACCAATACCACCAGTTTTCATAAAAGCAAAATGATGGACAATTTAATTACCCCCAAAATCGTTGCTATATTACCTTTTTACATAGAATCGACTGTCTTCGATATTTTCAATTTAACGCGGTTATCAAAATGACGGCAAATACTCGAGCACTGTCATGATGCCAATTTCAACTTATCATTAGGAAGCAATAGTGTACGGATATCACTAAAAAGTTACTGTCGCCCAAACTGTAAAATTTCCTTATACATAATCTCCCTATTTAATGGCATAGACTGACAGAACATTAACAACTTCATGCTCCCCAAAACAGAAAATGACTCTCCTGGAAAAACATTTGGCGAATGTGATAACTAGATCATACACGAAAAGAGCGCCCATTGGAAATGATCTGATGTGCATGAATTTTGAATATAGTTAGAAATAAGCAAGGGGGAAACGTGATAAAATGTTTAGGTAAGAAAATTAACCGTAATAACTGTAATAATGTTTTGGACTAACTTAGTGCCACATACATTCTCGTACAGTTATCGTAGCGTGCTTCTGATGTACCTCATACCAAACTCAATGCGAAGTGTTGCTAATGTTGGTAGAGGAGAAGGTAAAGAGGTCGCTGTTCTTCCATCATACCCCACAGATATTCATTTGACGAATGGTGCCAAGAGATGATGATGATTTGGCTGTTATTGAGGTACCATACTGTAGCTCTACTCTAGAATTACTACTAGAGTGGCAATGATCTATTCCATATCACTTCCTGGCAGTTGGAGTCGACTGCAACTCTTTGCATACATATCTGAAGTCAAATAGATTGGCTTGGATGGATGTGAAGTTGGCAGACAAAATGTTGCAGACTATTTGCCGAAGACACCCGAATGATTACTGGGGTCGACATCTTAAAACAGTCTCTGATTGAGAAAAATACAGAGCTGAGGGCCTGTAGCAATAAATACAAATTAGCCATAAAGAAATATTCAATGGACGAGGATAAGCACACTCATAGAGACAATCATTTTCCACACCAACTAAATAATTCGAAAGGTTAAAACCTATCCCAAAATATTTCTTCCAATCAAATCACTTATAGATTGTTGTATATTATACGGTATTGAGGTAATTATTGAGCTAAAACGCATATAGTGAGCCGAAACTAAATATAAATCACAGTTCATTTTCACCCTGAAATTTTCTAAATCGATAATTCGAGTATCTTTGCTAAATTGTTTGCTATATTTTGTCATCCAAGTTCACACTAGTTTGACTTGTACTTCCCACGAATTAGTAAAAATCTCACACAAACGTGAAGATTTTAACAAATTTTTAAAAACGTTGATAAATATTGCCAAAATAGGTTTGTATTTAAGAAACAATGACAAATGTGTGTTGCAGACAATACTGGTCGTCTCCCAAGAAACAAAAAAGTTTGAGAAAAGAATGCATTCAATTTCAAAGTGCTTGAGCACACTAATAATGTTTGTCCCTTTGGAAACACTGTTTCTAGTAAGCTCGATAATTGTCAGAAAAAACTGAAGCTTAAAGTGGTTCTGATGATGATTGTTTTTGCCAATAATAATTGATTAAAATTTAGTTGTACAATCAATATACTGCCCAAATGTTCAAATATTTGAATAATATAGTAAAAACTTTATAAATAGTGGAACAGAGATGTTTTTGATGGTGACAACTAATTCATCCATTCAATATCATCTATTTGCTTTACTTTACTTGCTTCAAAATTCTGCTCAGCATGTTCAACTTGACTCTACTGACTGCTGTGTTTGGGGCAAAGAAGAGGATGAAGGTTCAAATGAAACCAAACATCTTTAAAATTCACAGAACAAACTGCACGAAAATTATAATTATGAAGTATGGGTAAAACTAATTATTATTACTGGGCCTTCCAAATGGTTAACTATAATTATATTCTATATGCCTGGAGCTTGGTTAGTAATTGGGTACTTCTCAACTTAAGCACATAATGACATTGTAATTGTTTAGCGATGGAAAATGTAAAACTTACCAATCCTTTGCTTGTGGTAGATATTTGTATTAGCGAAAACTGACTGACAATTCACTGTGGATAGAGAGCTGTTTTCCTTTGTAAAGTGCGCATGTCCGTAACCACCAAAAAAAGCCAAGCGACCTATAGATGTCATAGCTTTCTTCCAAACCTTGTCCATTCTTGTGCACAAATGTAAAGGAATTTCTTAGTGTTTGGAAATCCATTTCATACACTTTCCTGGCAACCTTTGACTAAATATCTGCAGTACTAATGCTTTGTTTCTGGAAAATTCAATAATGCAATACTATCACATTTAGTGATCATGAGAGGCTATCATATGAATTGTTGAATAAATTCCATAATGTTCAAATCAAATATTTTGAATGTCTGACGTTAAGTTAACAAATTTCTCTTATCTACGTTTAGAACAACTCATATATGACTTGAGTTCAACAAATGCTAGTTTGAGTAACATACAAAAGATGAATTAGTTCAATCACTGCAGATGAGAATTAACTTTAAGTGGAATCTTATATTTATACTTACATACTGCCATATATTGCAATTATATTCACTGTACACCGTCGAATTACAAGTCATATACATGCTAACAGTAGAGTTACACAACGCGGGGATGGTAACTGGTGGATATCTATAAACCTCTCGTTTAACGTAGCCCCATAGAAAGAAGTTCATCGGTGTCATATCTGATGATCTAGGACGCCAAGATATAGGCCCATCACGACCGATCCAACGATTGTTACTCCAGGCGTCTAAATATTTACGCACACGATTATGATAATGCGCAGGTGCGCCGTCATGTTGGAAGTACATAAATGCATTCGAGTTTGCAGGTTGACATCCTCCAAAGGCAAAGGTAAATGCTCGATCAAAAAATTCAAGTATTCTGTACCTCTTTATATGTTGTCCAAAAAGAAAGGCCCGATAACTTGTTTGCCAATAACTCCTCCCCAAACATTCAAGTTCCATTTATTTTGGAAATTTGTTTGCCTAACCCAGTAAGAGTTTTCCGTGGCATAGTAGTGCATGTTATGCCTGTTGATAACACATATGCCGTTAAAAGTTACCTCATCGCTAAAAAGAACCTTATCCAGGAAAGTAGTGTCTTTACTCAGTTCATTTAGCATTATTCTACTAAACTCCATTCGAGCTGCGAAAACCTGAGGACGGAGGCCTTGATGCAAACATAGGTGATATGAATGATACCTCTGCTTGTGAATAATCCTTTGGACAGAATTTCCACAATTATCAGTTTCTGCTTCAATTTGCCGTGCACTTAAATGGGGACACTTGGATTATTTCTACATTTTTTACTATATTCCACTGCTCCACTTGATTCAAAACGTTCTCGTAGTGTTTAAAATGTTTCCGGCCTTGAATGCCGCATATTAGGGTACCGTTGCTTATAAATGCGAGATGCTAGGAAACTATGTCTTTGGGCTTCGCCCAAAACGAACACCATATTCACCATTTCTTCTTTAGAAAAATTAATTTTCAAACACGTTTTTTATTATAATGCTCACAAAACTAATTTTGATAGTTTGCAACTAATCAACAATTTATTTGTTTCCAAGGATGATGTGATATTTTAGGGAAATAGGCCGTTCCGTAGAGGACGTGCAAATAACCGAAATAATAGCCGTAAAAACCCTATCTGTCTAGTATCAAAAAAAATCTTAGACAAAATTGAATCCAAAATTGCACAAATATACAGGGTCATGCATTTGAATTTTTTGAGAAATACAACAATTCGCGTTTTTGACCACCCTGTATGAGCAAAAATTAAAATTCGAAAAAGTAACAAATAAGGTAAAAGCTGAGGTGTGTAAGTTTTTTTTGATAGAAAATTCAGCACCTCAAATTTCAAAATGGCTAACTGAGGAGTTGCCGAATTGGGGAGTTATAGTATATCAATTTTCTTCTTTTGAATTAGTTAATCCAAATAAGCAATAAAATTTGAGGCATTTTGTTTGAAAAATCACAACTTTGATAAGTTGATCGAAGTTGGTACACCCTGTATAATTGCAAATATTTTAGAAATGTGCCCCCCAAATGTCATGTGACACGCCATAAATAGATTTTCCCAAAATGTATTGGTTTATGAGTAATATTCCGTTCACACGTGGATGGGCCACCCTGTATACGCGTATACAATGGTGAATATACAGGGTGGCGCATATAAAACGAAACAGATGCATTTACTGGCAGCTCAGTTTTTTTTAAAAAACGCTAAGACCAGTCGATTTTGCTTTCGAGGGGGACACAAGTTTGGCAAAAAATCACGTTAGCACGTGCAGCCCCCTAAGCGGGGGTGACACCACCCCCAAAATCTTAAATGGAAAGGGGGGTCGAGTGATACGTTATTTTAAAGATCTTGCAATTTCCTTTATAGTGATATAAAATTAACGTACTTCAGTTCAGTAGTTTTGAAGATTTATTGATTTAAGGCTTAAATAAAACTAATACATCACCATTAGTGGAGATCAATACATTTTGCAGCGAAGTAATTTAAAAATGAAGAATGAACTGACCCGTTAGGCAAGTAAATGTTGAAAATGGCTACCATGACTCTCCATGCAATAATAAACATTTTTCTCAAAACGTTGCCGCACATTTTGCAATATTTGAGGAGTAATTTGAAGGAACTCATTCACCATACTTTGTCGCAGGCCTTCTAATGATGTTGGCTGACTAGCATAGATTTTGCTTTTTAAATGACCCCAAATAAAGAAATCCAAAGGTGTAAATCTAGCGATCTTGGGGGCCATTTAATGGCACCTCTTCTACCAATCCATCGATCTGGAGACGTCTGATCTAAATATTGTCGAACACGTAATGCGTAATGTGGTGGGGCACCATCCTGTTGGAACATCAACCTATTCGCAATGTAGCGCCGATCACTCTGATTTTATATTATGGCTGTTAATGCAGGATCTATGGCGTCTTCCAGTAAGTCCAAATACATTTCACGGGTCAAATTTCCAGGTAATAAATAAGGACCAACTAAATGATCGCCAAAAATACCAGCCCAAACATTTAATTTTTGTGGCTGCTGTGTATGAACCTCATGATAAATTCTGGGATTAGAATCGGACCAATATCGGCAGTTATGACGATTTACTACGCCATTTAAGAAAAAGGTACATTCGTCATAAAAGCAATTGTTGAATGTAAAATGTTCATCGTTTATAATTCGTACACTCATATCTTCACAAAATTGTAATCACCGATCAAAATCGTCTTCATTAAGTTCTTGTACCAGGTGAATTTTATACGGATGAAAACTATGGGCCTTTTGAATACGTTGGACAGTACGTCGACTAACACCACAAACAGTCTCCAATTTGCGGGTACTTAACGTAGGATTTACATAAACTTGTCCTAAAACCCTCACTTCTATTGCTTCGTTCCTTATGGGACTTTCAATGTTGCGTTTTTTATTGGCGACTGACCCAGTTTCCCGAAATTTAGCTACAAGTTCTAGAACATATTGTCGATGCACGTTACTGTTCTCATGGCGCTCATTAAATATTTCTGCTGTTCTATTAGCGCACTGATTATTTGTGAAAAATATTTCGATAATTTCGACTCTTTCTGCTGTGGAATATACCATGGTTAATTTATGTAACGTTACAAGTTATTTTAGCAACAAAGTTTGGTCAAATCAACCGCAAACTATGTACTAAATTCCTATTTGAAATAAGTACGAGATATTTCCTTATCTTTCTTCAAGAAATAACTTTTTTGCCACAAAAAATCGCTCCAATAGCTATTTTCAACAACAAAATGATAAACAAACCATAGACGTAGTGAAGAAAAGCATTTAATTATTCAGTAAATTCTTTTAGTCAAATTTCTTCTGAAAGTAGTACAATCTAATCTAATGCACCTATTAAAGTCTACTTTAAGCTTTACGTCAATAAATCTTCAAAACTACTGAACTGAAGCTCATGTATTTCACATCGTTATAAAGGGAATTGAAAGACCTTTAAAATAAGGTATCACTCGATCCCCCTTTCCATTTAAGATTTTAGGGTTGGTGTCAACCCCGCCCAGGGGGCTGCACGTGTTAACGTGATTTTTTGCTAAACTTGTGTCCCCCTCGAAAGCAAAATCGACGGGTCCAAGCGTTTTTCCAAAAAAAAACTGAGCTGCCAGTAAATGCGTTTGTTTCGTTTTCGATGGGCCACCCTGTATACGTCTCGATATACGTATACAATGTATACAGTGTGTACAAAAGCAAATAATAGTTCAACTACTTGCATACAGTGCTGGCGAAAGTTTTTGATTTCCACGTGTACGTGGAAGAGGGAGAGGGGGAGAAGCGGGCACCACTTGTGTAGAAATTGTGCACCACACATCACGTTGCCTAGCACAACGGTGATGAAGGCCACAAAACACGACTGTAACTTGCTGCAATGCCTTGTTTTCTATGCCTAAATACACATTTCTGTCGAATCTGTTTAGGCTCAATTCCGGATCGATCCTAATGATTTAGGTGGAACTGAAAGTTCAAGATCACTACCAATTTTGCAACATTGCAATATTGGTTTGACTGAGAAAGCAGTTTATACATAACGAGAAAGGCTATAGATATATAATATTCATTTATATACGTATACAAAGATACAGTTTTAAATAAATTAGGAACACTTCTTAAGTATAACAATATACTTGTGCGAGTTCAATCGAGATTTAGCGGTATTGGACAACTCTACGGAATATGTATCCGTTTTCAAACAAAATAACCCAAGCTCAACAATTTCTTTGTTCTTGGGGCGTCCAACCATATTTTTTTGAAGTTGCCGGTTCATTGTTCACCAACTTTCTGACGTCTGCTCACTTACGCTATTCTATACATTGTCTTCATCATTGTATACATTCTATTCATTGTATATGCATTGTATACATTGTATACTCATTGTATACATCGAGACGTAGACAATTAATGTATACGCTCAAACGCCCATCAGTGAATTGGTATGGAGAACACTCATCCCCTAAGGGTTATAATCGACTTTCTAGTTGTCTCGTCTATCGCTGCTATCAATTTAGAAGTTTGCTGAGTAAATTTGGTGTGACCCATAAATTGTCTTGATATATGTATGTTATATCATTTAAATTCAACTTTACTTTTTAAAAAATTTATTTGAGGACAGTACCTACTGTCCGTCACAAACGTTTACAATTACTTGACTTGACGGAGTCTAACCGGGTATTGAACAACATGAAATGGGCGCAAGGCCTATTTATACTATTG